AGTAAAACTTGTTTGTCACCTTGACCTTATCCTCACTAAAGTCCAAACGAAGCTTACCTTTCTCACCTTCACCCTTCCCTTACATTACTTTTACCCTAATCTATGTAGTACCTCCTTAATCGCAACTTAACCCCTAACCTCACCTTATTCCCACCTTAACTCCACCGTTCTGGTAGCAAATTATATCATTTTGGTTAGCTAAGCGAATGCAGAGAAAAACTCTTACTTTTTTTACCGTTTATTACGAATAAATCTTACCCACAACAACCTTAAAAACGTAAAAAACAAGAGAGAACGTTATAGTCGGGTTGGTGTCCCGACTATCTAATACCCGTCACTCAGCTAAAGGGAGTGCGAGGGAGATAGATATATAAATTTTGATTGCGTATAACTTTTTAATGAATGGTCCGATTTGAAAAATGTCTTCTACATTTCGATAGGTATAAATATACACAACAATATTGCATTTATACTTCTCGGAAATCTTTAAAGATGTGGGCGCAGGACCCATTTTAAAATCGTTAGTGGGCGATTGTGGGCGTTAGGGGGGGCGTGGCGCTCGGCTAAAATAAACTTGCGCTGTGTAGGAAGCCAAAGAATATGTGTGGGAAATCTCAACCTTCTAGCTTTTTTAGTTTCTGAGATCTCAGCGTTCATACAGACGGACAGACGGAGAGACGGAGAGACGGACAGACGGACATGGCTAGATCGACTCGGCTAGTGCCCCTGATCAAGAATATATATACTTTATGGGGTCGGAAACGCTTTCTTCTAGCTGTTACATACTTTTGCACGAATCTAATATAAAACAAGAGAGAACGCTATAGTCGGGTTGTTGTCCCGACTATCTAATACCCGTCACTCAGCTAAAGGGAGTGCGAACGCTGTGTCGGGTTGGTGTCCCGACTAATAATCGTAACTCAGCTAAAGGGAGTGCGAGGGAGATAGATATATGTTGACAATTTATAAAGCGTATAACTTTTTAATGAATGGTCCGATTTGAAAAATGTCTTCTACATTTCGATAGGTATAAATATACACAACAAAATTGCATTTATACTTCTCGGAAATCTTTAAAGATGTGGGCGCAGGACCCATTTTAAAATCGTTAGTGGGCGATTGTGGGCGTTAGAGGGGGCGTGGCGCTCGGCTAAAATAAACTTGCGCTGCGTAGGAAGCCAAAGAATATGTGTGGGAAATCTCAACCTTCTAGCTTTTGTAGTTTCTGAGATCTCAGCGTTCATACAGACGGACAGACAGACAGACAGACAGACAGACAGACGGACAGACGGACAGACGGACATGGCTAGATCGACTCGGCTAGTGACCCTGATCAAGAATATATATACTTTATGGGGTCGGAAACGCTTCCTTCTAGCTGTTACATACTTTTGCACGAATCTAGTATACCCTTTTACTCTACGAGTAACGGGTATAAATATATTAAAAATAACACACAAATACCTATGAAAGGCTACGGCCAAAATGCTTTAAGCGAAAAACGGATCCGCTCGCAGGATCGGTAGGTAAACAAAAAAAAAAGTGCCCCAATGTCGGCTGGGGAACAACAGCTGGAGAAAACAGTAGGTGTAATTTTGGAGACGAAATTTGCCAACAATTTTCTTCGTGCGCCCCTCGTCTTTAACATAATTTAAATTTTTGCAAAATATTTGATTTAGAATGGCTCCGTTTTTTTATCCTAATTTAATCATTAATCATTTATCCTAATTTAATCATTACATACTTACATATGCATGTACATGCCAATTTATCGATGTGTGTGTCATTGCGGCTCTCGCATGCAAATGTGACGACTGAAAGTTTTTCCCTGCTCTCCCCTTGAAAGCAAATTCAAAATTTTTTAAAATCAAAACAAAAATTTCTTATGCATTTAATGGGTTGGCTACACACTTTGACTTAGAATTGCATCCATTAGATAATCCGTTCTGGTATCCAAATAGTACTAATTTTATCAGGTGTTTCTAAGCCAGAAAAAAAACATTGGCCGCCTCTCTTTCGCTTCAAATGACTCTCTCTCTGCTCACTACTCTCTCGCTTTGCTTTTGCTGACGTTCGTGAGTCCTGCGAAAAACAAAAACAACGTGCTGCCAAAGAGGCCCCCCGCAAACAAAAAGGATCATATAAAATCAACCGTGGGTCCAAAAAAAAAAAATACCTTACTAATTGTATGGCATAGCTCCACACTTTAAAACCAAAACGGATGCGATCGCATAATCGGTGCGAAAAAATTAATCAAGTTCCCCAAGTCGGTTGGGGCTCATCTTCTGGGCTTTCGAAGATTTCCACAAACAAAGCTTAAAAAAAATATCAACTTGTTTGGTTGAAAACTGTGGGAATGGTTGATGTTTTAATCAACAAATTTTGCATTTTTCGAGAGTCCTGGGAGTCCTTAGGAGCCGAATTTTAAAAAATCCTTTCCTAGTGCACACCTCCTCTAACACACGATTCAGACCCAATTATTTCCAGAATTTTAGGTCTTATGGTTTGGGCTGGGGGAACATGACGCAAATCGACATCTACTCTTTTATAGTAATACTCGATCTACTATTTTTTGGGGCATTTTCTATTTTTTATGGGTTGGGACAGTTTTTACTATTAAATAGTTGGTTTTACATAGTTTTTTTTTTGTGTGTAGACAGTCGACTATAGCGTTCTCTCTTGTTTTATTTTAGTTTCCGCAGGCGAAGCTGCGGGCTACCGACCCTGGTAGTTCTTAATATTTCAAAGGAACGAACTACATTTTTATACCCTTGCAGAGGGTACACCCAGAAAAAATGTCAAAAAATGGCCTAGAATTTAGGTAAAATTGGCCTAAAACTGGAGCTAAGTCCTTGAAATTTAGGATTGTATGACCTAAAATGTTAGGCCATTAATGGCCTAAAATGGGGTAATTTTTGGCCTAGATTTTAGGTAATTGGCTGCCTTAAAATATGAGAAAACCCCTATCAAAAATTTTAGGCTTTCTTTGGCCTAAAAATTTGTACTGAAAAATGTTTCATATTATAAAGTAAATACAGAGAAATTTATAGCTAACTCGAGGTCAATGTCGGCTTAGTCTTCAAGAAGTCGTCATTATTCCAACACACAAAAACGAGCGAAGAGGCTTCACAGTTCAGCAGTGAAATCGCTGTTTTATTCAACGATGGAAGTGGGTTACCATGCAAGCCGCGCTATAACTGGTTGGGAATTATAGCGTCGCTAGAACGGTATCAGAGTTCCGTGCAAATTTATTTAGGTAAAATTCATTAATTTTAAGGCCCACGATGACCTAAAATATTAGGCTATACGGGACCTAAATAGTAGGGCAAATATACCAAAAATTTAAATTTTTAGGCAGTACATGACCTAAAAAGGAACTTTTAGTCCATTTAAAATGTTTTAGGCTACGCATGACCTAAAATGTTGTCCATCATTTTTCTGGGTGTATTATGATTTCAGTCAGAAGTTTGCAACGCAGTGAAGGAGACGTTTCCGACCCCATAAAGTATATATATTCTTGATCAGCATCACAAGACGAGTCGATCTAGCCATGTCCGTCTGTCCGTCCGTCTGTCCGTCTGTCTGTTTCTACGCAAACTAGTCTCTCAGTTTTTGAGTTATCGGGATGAAACTTTCCCAAAAGTCTTCTTTCTATTGCAGGTAGTATATATGTCGGAGCCGACCGGATCGGACAACTATATCTTATAGCTCCCATAGGAACGATCGGAAAAAAAACGTTAAAAAATTCTAGCTTCGGTGTTTTTTCAAGTATTACCTTCTACTCTAGGGAATATTATTTTTTATATATTTCTGAATTTCGAATTAAATATTTTAAAAATCGGATCACTATATCATATAGCTGCCATAGGAACGGTCGAAAAATTAAATGGAAATTAATAGGAAAACAAATTATATCTTTGTTAATTTTTATTACATTCTCTTCTACTCTGAGATATGACTATTTTTAAATATTTCCGAATTTCGATTTTAATTTTAAAAAGATCGAACTACTATATCATATAGCTGCCATAGAAACGATCGAAAAATTAATGTAAAATAATAGGAAATATAACATTTATGCGATTTGTAAATTAATAGGAAAAACCTGCAAGGGTATATAAGCTTCGGCTGGCCGAAGGTAGCTTCCTTTCTTGTTAAAAGTCTTTTTGCTTCCCTAGGAAGAAATCTGTGTCCACTCATCCAACTCATCCATATTGCCGAAATAAATCCCGACATAAGCGGGGATTTTTATAAGCTCAAAGCGACATCAACAGAAGCTGGGGAGCATCAAGCCACAAAACTTTAAGGCCAAGAATACAAAAAAAATACGATAAATAACCAAAAGCGCATAAAAATACGAATAAATAAGACCTGGTCGATGTTCTTAAGCATTCTGCCTCCTTTTCAGTGAGGTAAGGGAGTGGATATATCGACGAGAAGCAGCGGCGGACGTAACAGCAACAGTATTAACTAGAACTGAAGAAGCAGCAGCGACAAGCGTACTCTAAATGTGTGAGAGTGTGTTGGCCTTGTGCGTGTTTGAACTAGCGTACATCCTATGCGAGACGAAATTTCTGTCATGGGCTCCAGATTTCTTCTGCCGCTCTTCTCCTGCTCCACCTGACTGCTGACTTTGCAATATTCATGTTTAGCTACCGGCCAGCGGCCCAAACCACTCTCTAAGGGTGGGCGTGGCGCATAGGGTGGTGGTTAGTCTATAGCGCTGGCTGCGCACCACGCCCTCTCTGGCCACTGGTTGTGCGTTAGAGGGGGAGCGAGCTACTGACGCAATCAGCTGAGAGTGCCGCCATTTGCCACTACGGTAAGCTACCCGCTGAGCGTGTGCGCAAGCAGGCCGACAACAGTCGCGCGACAGCGTGGTGTTGGTGTCGCACTTACTCACACCGGCGCGCGCAAACTACACAAAATACGGGGCTGTTGAGTTTTTGGGCTTATGGTTCTGCGCTCGCATTGCGTTTAAGCATTCCCAGTTTCTCAGCTGCGCCGACTGGTTGTTCTCGCGCCCCTAAGCAGATCGGTTGCAGGCTGTAATCGGTAATCGAATTTCGAAAACAAGTCGGTTTCTATTTTGAAGCCCTACGCGGGCGAGAAAATAACAACATTGATAGAGTTTTTGCGGATCGGGATTGAGTGATTAATCTAAACCTGCCTGGGGTTAAGGATTGCCAGAACAAAGCCTGCGACGGACTACGTACCTCGCTAGCAGCGTTTTAAGCTATCATAGCAGATGAGAAGGCGATTGACGAAACGGACCAAAACAAAAGTGGGACCGGGAATTGACTGGCCATAAATTATACAACGCCTCTATAATGCCTTATCATTAGCACGCATCATTTTCTGCCGCAGGAAGACACCGACAAAGGCCGACTACAACTCAATTTGGACCTGATGTGCCATTCTCGCGCTGTCTCGTAAAATATTGTCATAAATTAACTTTATACTCTGTTCCCTGACCGCTCGTTGTCACCGTCCCGAAATCGGCTGTCCACCTGTGCGGTCGGAGTTCAGACGGCCCCTAATCGACCTTATCATCCTACCTGACGCTGAGTCAAGTGTTTCAGTGAGTGCTTCATGCATGGTCGTGTGTGACCCTAAGTTCCTTAAATTACCTTGATGCTGAGGTAAATAAGCGCCAGCAAATTTAGTATTTATGCAATAATAATAGGCATACCAATGGTGCCAATCTGTAAGACAACGCTGAAGTGATGCTTGCCTGACAAGCAATAAATCTAGTTATATTTACACATATTATCGGCGGGCCATATCGGGTCGATCGCGACAAGTGTCAAGTGTTCTTTAGTACAACTGTCCCAGTCGAAAAGGATTATCCGGGAACAACAGTGCACAGAATTGTTCGAGAGGCGGTAGGCTTGCGAACGCAGCTCACAGCCTAAACAACGACAAACATATCACACCCGACGGATATCATCCTTGGAAATAGACCTCGGGTCATTCCAAAAGACGCACATGGGCGTCTGCACCGAGGAGCGCCCTGTGATGCATTGGGTAAGTGTCCCGCCGGACTCCAAAAAATGCACGGCTGCCAGCGATAACCGTAAATGATTCGCACAGCTATCCGCCCCTGCTCATCCTTACGCTGTCGTTTGTGATTAATCTTGTTCCGAGCCCGGGTTACTGGGAGTTATCAATGCCAGACCGAAAGCTAGGCCATTAACCGACAGCTGCGGTCAGTAGCGATAAGACCCTGATTCAAATGGATTCTTAGATTATTTCAATATTTCTCAATCATTAGGTACATAGTTCTTATCTGCAAAATCTAATTTGATTCCCCTTAGACTTAGACAGCCACCGACTTCGTACGTATCATGAGGGAACTTCTATATAAATACAAGCAATGCCTTTTCCACTTTATAAGTTAACATATAAGATCAATAATCATTGATCATATTAAGGCTATCAATAAAGCTACGACCATCTACTTCTCTACCGTTACAGAGCTCAATTCATACAAGGATCCATGAGGGGATTTGTTGTGAAATGTGGTAATCAAAAAGTTAGCAATTTGTTCTGGATTCCCAACCCAAAACCAAATCCAAGATTTGCACTGGCTCTATTTGATACCTATCAATTTGCGTATCAGATGATATATATATGCATAAGCTAAAAAAAAAAACCGTTCTCAACGTTATTGATTTCGGTATATCCGTCCTCAAAAGTGATCTAAATCAAAGCTAACTTTCTTTGGCATTAAAAAATCAAATACTTTGCGATATTTCCTGTAAAAACTGGTTCGATTAATTTAATTTAAACGTTTTGTATATTCTTAAATGCCATTTAAGTGACATCGACTAATTTTTATGCGCGTTCAAAATTAAGGACACAACAAGGAATAAAATACACGTATTTTTCTCGTGTCTTTTATTTTAAATAGAATACTACACATTTTATTTCAGACATGTACCTATAATAAATAAGGAATAGTATCAATCACTTTCTATCCGGCGACGGATTTGGGTACGGTTTGGAAACCAACCCATCAAACGAAGGCGTCACAGAATCTGTAAAGTTTTCTAGGAGTTTCGGAGTAAAGCTCGTATTTTACACACAAAAAAAAAACTTGGTAAAATCAACTGTAATAATTGTCAAACAGGCCCCAAGCAGCAAAATTGTCAATTCTACTTAGTAAATAGTCATTTCACAACAACAAAATACACACAATTAGCAAAGACACACACCCAAAGCAAAAACAAAGTACACGGAACTATTTTAATAGTTACGTAACTATCTTTGTTGGTCAATTTTACCAAGCAATTTTTTTTTGTGTGTATGCAAAAGGAAAAGGAAGCGTTTCCGACCCTGTAAAGTATATATTATTGATCAGGGTCACTAGACGAGACGATATAGCCATGTCTGTCTGTAAGTCTGTATGTCTGTCTGTATGAAGGCTGAGATCTCAGAAACTACAAAAACTGGAAAGTAGGGATTACCCATACATATTCTTGGGCTTCCTACGCAGCGCAAGTTTATTTCAGCCAAGCGCCACGCCCCCTCTAACGCCCACAAACAATTTTAAAATGTGTCTGACGCCCACATTTTTAAAGATTTCGGAGTAGCTGAGTATCGGGTATCTGATAGTTGGGGCATCCGACATGTTCTCATATCCATAAAAGAAATACAAAGTAGAAAATAATTAGATTTAAGCAGTGCGCAAAGGCTTTAAAGTTTATTAAATATATTTTAGATTTATCTTGATGCCGTAGACTTGATTTTATACTTTGACAGTGTTTCAAAAAGTATATAAATCTTTTTCCCAAGCTTTTTAACAAGGGGTGAAGTCGTTGATGAAATTCAAGTCCCTGGGAGATAAATACAACTAAAAATCAAGAAAGGAAGCTACCTTCGGCCAGCCGAAGCTTATATACCCTTGTCGATTAAAGAATGCTTACTCGGTGCAGTTCCAGGGATTCCAGATTCAGCGTTTCTATTTATTTAAATTTTGTTTTTAAGTAGTCAAGAATCAAAACGCCTACACACAAAAAAAATCTTGGTAAAATCAACTGTAATAATTGTCAAACAGGCCCCAACCAGCAAAATTGTCAATTCTACTAAGTAAATAGTCATTTCACAACAACAAAATATACACAATTAGCAAAGACACAAACCCAAAGCAAAAACAAAATACACGTAACTATTTTAATAGTTACGTAACTATCTTTGTTGGTCAATTTTACCAAGCAAATTTTTTTGTGTGTACTTCCTACAAAGTTACAATGAATTTTCTTATATTTGTTTTAATGTTCCTATGGGAGTCTTAAGATATAGTAGTCTGATCCGGCTCGCTCCGACATATGTACTCCCTGCAATAGAAAGAAGACTTTCGGGAAAGTTTCATCGCGATAGCTTTAAAACTGAGGGACTAGTTCGCATAGAAACGGACAGACGGACAGACGGATATGGCTAGATGGACTCGGCTATTGATGCTGATCAAGAATATATATACTTTATGTGGTCGGAAACGTCTCCTTCACTGCGTTGCAAACATCTGACTGAAATTATAATACCTTCTGCAAGGGTATAATAATACTTAAAATCGTTGAAACCAAAGTTATAATATCTAATCTCTATTTAAGTGTGAGTCACGCAAAAAAAAAACATGGTGGGTCGGGTATCAAACTCGGTCCTTTTAGTTTGGAGACAGAAGCTCTACAGCGTACGCTAAGTCCAACTGTAAATACTCTTGAAGTAATCTTGTACTTGGCTCCTTAATTCCAGCGGAACAAAAAAGTTGACAGGTTAAGGAAGGAAGAAAAATATTACGTTTCGATAAGTTATTTTTACTCAAACTTTGAGACTTTTGCGCACCTCCTAAACGTGAAATTTTTTTTTTCGTTTTCGCATACATTTTTTAAACTCAGAAACCTACCATTTCAGATGCTGAGCTCACACAGCCAAAAATTTGCTTAAGTTTTTTCTAGTTGTTCATGATATTTGGGTGCCACTGATTAAAAGTCTCGTACAAACTTATATTCCATCATTTACAGGTTCAAAACAAGAGAGAACCCTTTAGTAGGGTGGGTGTCCCGACTATCTAATACCCGTCCCTCAGCTAAAGGGATTGCGAGGGAGACAGATATATAAAATTTTGATTGCGCATAAATTTTTAATGAATGGTCTGATTCGAAAAATGTCTTCTAAATTTCGATAGGTAGGCGTGGCGCACGGCTAAAATAAACTTGCGTTGCGTAGGAAGCCAAAAAAAATGTGTGGGAAATCTTAACCTTCTAGCTTTTGTAGTTTCCGAGATCTCAGCGTTCATACGGACAGACAAACAGGAAGGCAGACAAACGGACAGACGGACATGGCTAGATCGACTCGTCCAGTGACCCTGATCAAGAATATATATGTGTACTTCATGGGGTCGGAAACGCTTCCTTCTAGCTGTTACAATATACCCTTTTAACGAGAATAAAAATAAGGAATAAAATGCCGACATTTGGAATTGTGTGGCCTATATAATAAGATAATTAAACTATTTTCGCTGAGATCTGCTCTCAGTACATCACGGCATTCCCAAAAAATAGTCCCCACTGTCAACCATTGCCCATGTCTTTGGAATTCGACGCCGAAGTTGAAAGTCCAACAATTTTCACGATTTTTCTGATGGAAAACCAATTCTAAAAATTAAATCTTAATTCTTTATTCATGGAATCTATTTTCTAATGTATGCTTTAATTTCGGGCTAAAGCCTTTTTTATTAGGATGTTTTATTGGATTTATTATAACAATAAAACCTTTTTATACCCTTGCAGAGGGTATTAAGATTTCAGTCAGAAGTTTGCAACGCAGTGAAGGAGACTTTTCCGACCCTATAAAGTATATATATTCTTGATCAGCATCACTAGACGAGTCGATCTAGCCATGTCCGTCTGTCCGTCCGTCTCTCTGTCCGTTTCCCAAAAGTCTTCTTTTTATTGCAGGTCGGAACCAGCCGGATCGGGCAACTATATCCTATAGCTCCCATAGGAATAATAGGAAAAATAATGAAAAAAATTCTAGCTTCGGTGTTTTTTGAAATATTACTTACTAATATTCTACTTTTGTAAACAATGTTTTTTATATATTTCTGAGTTTCGGATAAAATTAAAAAAAATCGGACGACTATATCATATAGCTGCCATAGAAATGAACAGAAAATTAATGGGAAAATAAAAGAAAAACAAGAAAGGAAGCTATATATATATACCTTTGCAATTCATTCTATTAATTTACAAATCGCAAAAATGTTACATTTCTTATTATTTCACATTAATTTTTCGATCGTTGCTATCACAGCTATATGATATAGTAGTTCGATCTTTTAAAAATTAAAATCGAAATTCGGAAATATTTCAAAATAGTCATATCCCAGATATTTTCCCATTAATTTCCATTTAATTTTTCGACCGTTCCTATGGCAGCTATATGATATAGTAATCCGATTTAAAAAACAAAAAAACCGAAATTCAGAAATATATAAAAAAAAATATTCCCAAGAGTAGAAGGTAAAATTTCAAAAAACACCGGAGCTAGAATTTTTTACGTTTTTTTTTTTGGTTCTTCCTATGGGAGCTATAAGATATAGTTGTCCGATCCGGTTGGTTCCGACATATATACTACCTGCAATAGAAATACGACTTTTACGAAAGTTTCATCCCGATAGCTTTAAAACTGAGAGACTAGTTTGCGTAGAAACGGACGGACAGACGGACATGGCTAGATCGACTCGTCTTGTGATGCTGATCAAAAATATATATACTTTATGGGTTCGGAAATGTCTCCTTCACTGCGTTGCAAACTTCTGACTGAAATCATAATACCCTCTGCAAGGGTATAAAAATTATAGTCTCTTTGGTTTTTATTGTATTCTCTCCTACTTTTAAATATATATATTTTTTTAATACTTCCGAATTTCGAATTAAATTTAACAAAAATCGGACAACATTATTATATAGCTGCCATAAGAAGGTCAGAAAAAATAATAGGAAATTTAAAATGTTTGCGATTTGTAAATTAATAGGAATGATCTGCAAGGGTATATAAGCTTCGGCTGGCCGAAGCTAGCTTCTTTTCTTGTTATACCCTTGCAGAGGGTATTATGATTTCAGTCAGAAGTTTGCAACGCAGTGAAGGAGACGTTTCCGACCCCATAAAGTATATATATTCTTGATCAGCATCACAAGACGAGTCGATCTAGCCATGTCCGTCTGTCCGTCTGTCCGTCTGTCCTTCTGTCCGTCTGTCCGTCTGTCTGTTTCTACGCAAACTAGTCTCTCAGTTTATGAGCTATCGGGATGAAACTTTCCCAAAAGTCTTCTTTCTATTGCAGGTAGTATATATGTCGGAACCGACCGGATCGGACAACTATATCTTATAGCTCCCATAGGAACGATCGGGAAAAAAAAACGTTAAAAATTCTAGCTTCAGTGTTTTTTCAAGTATTACCCTCTACTCTTGGGAATATTATTTTTTATATATTTCTGAATTTCGAATTAAATAATTTAAAAATCGGATCAC